GGGTTCCCTTATCACCGACGTGGATGTGGGTATAGCTTTCTCTATCACCGACGCGGATGTGGGTATAGCTTTCTCTATCCATTTTTGTGTCACTAATACAGAGATGGTAATGGTGGGGAAAACTATGCATAAACTAGATTTATTGAAGTTTGTGCAATGTGGGTTTTTCTACCATTGTATCAACGCGGTAGTGTTGTTTTTTCCCCATTCAGAGATGGTAATATTGCTTTCTCGACAGACCGCAACAGGTTTCTAACAAGTTTGCATTTTTTTTCAGGTGTCTCGTGTACAGGCAGTTAGTGGCCATACTCACGCCGCTGACGCCGTCGCCATGTCAGCGCTGAAGGTCCGCAGGGAGATCATGGACACCGCCGAGGTCAGCGGAGGGAGGCCAGGGCAGATTCTGGCAGACAAGCTCGCCACATGTCCTCAGGAGGTGTCTCACTCAAAACTAAATTGCGTTGATATGAACTCACTTCCTCAGGAGGTGTCTCACTCAAAACGAAATTGCTTTTGTTATATGAAATTTCCTCTGGAGGTGTCTCACTTTAAAACTAAATTGGTTTGATATGAACTCTTCCTCTTGACTCACTCAAAACTAAAATATGAACTCACTTCCTCTGGAGGTGTCTCACTCAAAACGAAATTGCGTTTATAAGAACTCAATTTATGGATACGTTATGTATTTACGTTTTTTTTTCCAATGCTTATATAGGTGCTCGCTGCGTTAGGGAAGAAAGAAAGCTTGAAGCGTCAGATCAGGCGAGCCAGACGTGGAGCCGCGACCCCGGACCTCAGAGCGATGGAGGGCGCCCCCCACCCTCTCCTTCGTCGCCACTGCACGGAGCGTTCAGAAAGCGCCACACCCTTCGTCAGGTTCGACAACGGGGCCAAGGATTCGCGACTCGTGTTTCCTGCCGGTGGCGACGACGGGCTGGAGCTCCTGCGGGCGCGCGGCGAGGGTTGCGGGCGGGACTCGAGCTGCAGGAAACGCGGCCGCTGTTGTGCGTTCGCGAGCCGCTTCCGCAGCCAGCCACCGCCCTGGACCGCCACCAGCCGTTCGCAGAAGGATGACGCGACCGAGGAGGCCAGCGGGTCTGTCTTCAATGTCCTGCCGGGGGGGGAGGGGGTGAAGACAACCCCCAGGTACGGGAGTCAACGAAGAATACTGTGAGGCAAGAGGTACTTCGATAAGTTCCTTTTTTGCCGCTGAGCATTGCATTCGGCTGCCAGCTGGTAAAATAGTGACAGCTATATACAATTGTACTACACAATACATATATGTACACACACACACCACACACACACACACGTATATATACACACACACACGAGTATATGAATTATCAAGTGGATATGCACGTGTGCGCTTACCTCACAAACACACAGTTTGTGTATGCATATATACAGTATCTATACATACACAGTATGTTATTATGCATATGAGGAAAAAAAAATGTGTCGAGTCATTAGGTAAATTTAGCATTTATTTATTCAAAAATATGAACATATATTTTCTGATGCTTGGCCTAGCTGCTAGGCATAAATAAATGATTGAACTGAATAATTCGTTTCATATATAGATATATAAATACAGTAATTAGCTAGATTTATTCACTAATGCATAATGTCACATAAAACAAACAGTCCTAGCGTGCAGCAGAGAGTGGATGTGAAAGGTGTACATTCTCTTAAAATAAAATCTATGTCTTTTATATATATATATAGTTTTGTTGAACACCCCCTCGGCGCTATATTCACAAAATAATGTCTTTTTTTTCTTTTTTTATTTCAAAATTCACCTTAAATATAAAACCTCGGTCCTGGATTCTGCCCGAGATACGAACCGATTCACTTCGTTGCCAAAGAATAACCGAGGCCTTAAAAAAAAAAGGTACATAGGCCTATAAAAAAAAACAGGCCTAAAAAAAAATTTTTTTTTACAGACCTCGCGAATAACAAAGAATAACCAAGGCCTTAAAAAAAGTACATAGGCCTAAAAAAAACAGGCCAAAAAAAAAAAAAAAAAAAATTCTCCTACAGACCTCGCGAATAACAACTTTGGGGGAGGTTGGCGAGTCTAGGGGGGGGGGGGGAGTCTGTCGGGGGAACGGGAGTCGGATTATCACAATAAGGCAAATTCCTCCCGATTTCTCAGGGGAGCTTTGGAAGAACACTTGGAGAAGTTCGTATATACATATACATACATACATTTACACACACACATATACATATACATTGTATGTATATATAATATATATATTATAGTATATATATATATATATATATATATATATATATATATTAATATACATATACATGTGTATTATGTATTTATGTATTTTATATATCTATATATATTTATATATATATATATATATATATATATAATATATATATATATATATATATATATATATATATATATATATATGTATATATATATATATATATATATATAATATTTATATATATATATATAATATATATATATATATATATATATATTATATAATATATATATATATATAATATAATATATATATATATATATATATATATATATATATATATATATATATATATATATATATATATAATATATATATGTGTGTGTGTGTACTATATATATATATAATATATATATATATATATATATATATATAATATATACCCTATAAGATACATGTATGTGTGTGTAATATAATCATTGTATACCTTACAGATCTCTTGCAGACTGCTTGCGGCCGGAAAACTTACCCTGTGTGAGTGTTCGCCCGACCGGCCACCGGGGGGGGTGGGCGGCCGAGGCGTCTGGGATGACACTGGTTACGTAATACTTATGGTTTGGCGTGCGAGGGGCGCGAGGCAGCCCGCGGGGCCCTCGGGCGCCTCGCGGGCCCTCGGCGTGACTCGACTGCGGGAGGCCGCGACGACGGCAGTCAGTGCGACGCCCTCGCGTGGCAGCTGAGGGCGGCCTTCGTCTGCAGCTGCTTCATGACGTAGAGCTCCTGCGGCGTGGTGTCGGGCTGCGCGGCCGCCCACACCAGCGCCTTGGCGAGCAGCGCGGCCGCCTCGCCCGCCGAAGGGATCTCCTCCACGGGCGGGATGTCCAGGGCGACGTGGCCCTCCTCCAGGCTCACCAGCGGCTGCAGGCTGTGCTGCGTCTCGGGCGACAGGTCGTCGTCGCAGTCGTGCATGTCGCCGTAGTCGTACTCGTCGTGCGGCTCCGGCTCCGTCTTGACGCGCGGCGGCGGCGGCGACGACGCGCCCTCCAGCACGCGCTCCAGGAGGTCCAGCGCGCGCCCCTTGCACAGCCGCTCGGCCGCCGCGCGCGCCTTCTCCGCCGGGCGCGTGAGGGGGCGGCCGCCCGCGCCGCTTGCCCCCGCTGCGCCCCGCGCGTCGTCGCGCCCCGCGCGCTGCACGATGGGGCGCCAGCCGCCCTCCTCGCCCGGGCGGAAGGCGCGGATGTTGTAGCGCCGCTTGAAGCGCTCCAGCCAGCCCGTGCTCGCGCGGAAGTCGTCGTTGCCTCGCAGGCGCTGGTGCTCCCGCGCGCGCGCGCCCACCTCCGTGCCCGCCAGCTCGCGGCCCGCACCGCACCTCCTGGGGGGGGAGGGGGGGGGTTAGGCCCTGAAACGGCTCCGCGCCGGTTATGTCACTCCGGATTTCATTGACAGCTCTTTCATTCTCGCTCTCTCTCTCTCTCTTTCCCTCTCTTTCTCTCTCTTCTCTTCCTTTCTCTCTCTCTCTCTTCTCTTCTCTTCTTTCTTTCTCTCTCTCTCTTTCCTCTTCTTCTTTCTCTCTCTCTCTGTCCCTCTCCCTCTCTCCTCTCCTAGTCTCTGCCGCTTCCTCCTTCAGAATTAATCCACTTTGTTTTTTGTTTTTTTCCCCGGCGAGGTGGCGGAGCTTCATTCCGAGCACCGCCTCCCCCTCCCCTCCCCTCTCTCTCCACTCCCCTTTCCCCTCACCTGCAGCAGCCACTTCCTCCCCTTCCTATCCCATCTCCCTCTCCTCTCTTCCTCACCATTCCTCCTCCTCTCATCTCCCTACCCCCATCCCCTCCCCCCTCACCTGCAACAACCTCCTTCCCAGCCCTCCCCTCTCCCCCCTTTCCCTCCCCCTCCTCCCCTCACCTGCAGCAGCCTACGTCCACCCCTCCCCTACCCCCCTAGCCCCTTCCCCTCTCCCCTCACCTGCAGCAGCCTAGCCCTAGCCCCTTCCCCCTCCCATCCCATCCCCCCTCACCTGCAGCAGCCACTCGAACACCTCCTTCCCCCTCCTCCCCCCTCCCTATCCATTCCCCTCCCATCCTCTCTCCCTCTCATCCCCCCTTCCCTCTACCCCTCCCTCCCCCTCACCTGCAGCAGCCACTCGAACACCTCCTCCCCCTCCTATCCCATTCCCTTCCCCTTCCCTTCCCCTCTACCCTCCCATCCCATCCCCCCTCACCTGCAGCAGCCTACGTCCCCCCCTCCCATCCCTCCCTCACCTGCAGCAGCCGCTCGAACACCTCCTTCCCATCCCTCTCCCCCTTCCCATTCCCCCTCCCCTCCTCATCCCCTCTCCCTCCCCTCTCCCCTACTCCCTCCTATCCCCCCTCACCTGCAGCAGCCACTCGAAACATAGATTCCCTCTCCCCCCAGCCCCCCCCTTCCCATCCCATCCCTCTCCTTCCATCCCTCCCCTCTCCCTCCCATCCCCCCCCTCATCCCCCTCTAACCCTCCCATCCCCCCCCCTCCTCCTCAACCTGCAGCAGCCACTCGAACACCGCCTCCCTCTCCCCCCAGCCCCTCCCTTTCCCATTCCTCTCCCCTCACCCTCCCTCTCCCTCCCATCCCTCCTCATCCCCCCCTCACCCCTCCTCCCATCCTCTCCTCCCCCTCCCATCCCTTCCCATCCCTCCCCTCTCCCCTTCCCCTTCCCATCCCATCCCCCCTCTCCTCCCCTTCCCCCCTCCATCCTCTCCTCCCCTTCCCCTCATCCCCCTCTACCCCTCCCATCCCCCCCATCCCATCCCTCCTCACCTGCAGCAGCCACTCGAACACCTCCCCTCATCCACATCCCCCTCCCTCCCCATCCCCCCATCCCTCTACCCTCCCATCCCCCCCCCTCACCTGCAGCAGCCACTCGAACACAGCCTCCCCTCTCCCCAGCCCCCCTCCCATCCCATCCCATCCTCTCCCCCCCTCCCCTCTCATCCCCCTCTACCCCTCTCCCTCTCCCCCCCCCTCACCTGCAGCAGCTACTCGAACACCTTCCCTCCACCCCCTCCCCTCCCATCCTCCCCTCCATCCCATCCCTCATCCCTCTACCCCCCCATCCCCCCACCCCCCCTCACCTGCAGCAGCCACTCGAACACCTCCTTCCCCCCCTCCTCCCCCCTCCCATTCCCCCCTTCCCCCTTCCCTTCCCCCCCCTCCCATCCATTCCCCCTACACCCTCCATCCCCCTCCTATCCCCCCTCACCTGCAGCAGCCACTCGAACATAGATTCCCCTCTTCCCAGCCCCCCTCCCTTCCCATCCCCATCCTCTCCTTCCCACCCCCCTCCCCTCTCCCTCCATCCCCTCTACCCCTCATCCCTCTAACCCTGCCATCCCCCCCCCCCCTCCTCCTCACCTGCAGCAGCCACTCGAACACGCCTCCCCTCCCCCCCAGTCCCCCTCCCTTCCCCATCCCCCTCTCCCTTCCCTTCCCATCCCATCCCCCCCCCCTCCCCCATCCCTCCCCTTCCCCCTCCATCCTCTCCTCCCTTCCCTCATCCCTCTACCCCTCCATCCCCCCCATCCCCCACCCCTCACTGCCAGCCACTCTACCCCTCCCATCCCCCCCATCCATCCCCCCTCACCTGCAGCAGCCACTCGAACACCTCCCTCCCATCCCCCCCCCTTCCCTTCCCCCCTTCTTTTCCCCCCTCCCCTTCCTTCCCCCGTCCCCTCCTCATCCCTCTCCCATCCCCATCCCCCTATCCTCCCATCCCCCTCTCACCTGCAGCAGCCACTCAACACCTCCCTTCCCATCCCCCTCCCTTCCCTTCCTTCCCCCCTTTCTTTTCCCCCCCTCCCATCCCATGCCTTCCCCCTCCTCCTCATCCCCTCTACCCCTCATCCTCCCTTCCTATCTCCCCTCCTCACCTGCAGCAGCCACTCGAACACCGCCTCCCCTCTCCCCAGCCCCCCTCACCTGCAGCAGCCACTCGAACACCGCCTCCTCGACGTCGGCCTTGGCGCCCGACTCCAGCTTCCGCCGCGTCATGGCCACGAAGTCCCCGTTGGTCTCCACGTACTTGAGGATCTCCACCTCGTGCTTCTTGACGTCGGACACGGTGGAGGTCCCGATGCCGTACTCGAGGGCGAGCTGCCGCTGGGACTCGCCGCTGTGGAGCCGCCGGATGAGGTCGGCCTTCTCGGCGATCGACAGCACGGTCCGGCGGCGCTTCGGGACTGGTGGGGGGGGGGGGGGGAAGAGGTGGAGGTTGGAGGGGGGAGGTGGAGGTGGAGGAGGGGGGGGAGGGGAGAGGTGGAGGGGGTGAAGAGGGGAGAGGGGAAGGGAGGGGAGAGGTGGAGAGGGGAGGAAGGGAGGGAGGAGGTGGAGGGGGAGAAGGGGGAAGAGGGGAGGTGGAAGGGGTTGAAGGTGGGGGGGAAGAGGTGGAGGTGGAGAGGGGCGAGGTGGGTAAAAGGGGAGAGGGGGGAGGTAAAGGGGAAGGGAGGGGAGGGGAGGGGAGGAGGGTGGAGGGGGGGAGGTGGAAGGGGGTGGAGAGGAGAGGGGGAAGAGGGTGGATGGGAGAGTGGAGGGTGGAGGGGGGAGAAGGGGAGAGGGGGAGGTAAGAGAATGGAGGGAGAGGAGGTGGAGGGGTGGAGGGAGAGAGGGGAGAGGGAAGTGGGGGATGGAAAGGGGTGGAGAGGAGAGGGGGAAGGGGAGAGGAGGGAGAGGGGAAGAGGGTGGATGGGAGAGGGGGAAGGGGGGTGGAGGGAAGGGAGTGGAAGGGAAGAGGAGAGAAGGGAATAGAGATACAGATAGAGATGATGGAGGACGAGAGGGGAGAGGGGAGAGGAGAAAAGGGTGGAGGGGAGAGGGGAGGAAGAAGAGAGAAGGGGAAGGGGAGAGATAGAAGGGAATGGAGAGAAGGAGGAAGAGGAGAAGAAAAAAGAAGGAAGAAATACCGAAAGAACGTGAGAAAAAGGACAAAGAGGGAATAAAAAGAGATAGGATGCCAAAAAAGGGAAGAAATGGAGAAAGATAAAGATAATTAGCGAAATTGCTATAATCAATATTACTTTAATGACCAATCTCATTCATCTAATCATCAATGTTGCTAATTTGATATTCTCAACTGATATCACATACCACTGCTGATACCAACCCAACAATAAGATATAATGATAACAATAACAATAAGAATATAATGAGAAAAATAATGATAATGATTATAATGATGATGGCGATAGCAATAATGACGAAGATAATCCCAATAACGATAAAATATGACATAATCATTAA